AGCCTCACCTCTTTGTCTCCTGCAGAAATTGCCAGGTCGTCGTGAGCTGTGGCAGGGTCCAGGCTGAGGACACATGCATCTGAGATAATGAAGGAAAAGATGCAAAGATAAAATTTGCACTTGTGGTTGACTCAGTCTACAAGGTGAAAGAAGCATTCAGATGCCTTAGTTCAGTAGAATTATCAATACAGCAATGTAGAAATAATTGATTAAATTGCAATTAGGAAAAGTAGGAGTACTGGTTCTGCAGAAACTGTCCTAGTAGGTTTATTCCAGTGGTCAGCCCCCTCCAAAGGGTGACAAGATAAATCTGAAGGGTTGTGAGATGATTAATGGGAGATGAAATGATAAAAACTAAAGCTCTGATACATAAATGGGTATTCATCTTTTTTTCAGGATTTGCTTTGCTTACTTTGCTTTCTTTGAAATATTGGATCATTTCACTTCTTGAGCCTTAAACAGTTATTTAAATAAGAAGTTTAGAGGGGAAACTGCTAACAACTCATGGACACCTGAAACGTGACAAGATGTCCCGACTAGACACTGCTTGTCTGTAAGGTTACAAGCCAAAAGCATAGGGAACAACTGGTTTAAACTTTATCAACATGTTGTATTTTATTCGCTTATATTGTGTGTTTTTAGGTAAAATTCTTAACCGAGAAGTAACTGGTAACTACAACTGACAGATAAATGTAATGAAGTAAAAAGTACAATGTTTTCCTCTAAAATGTAGTCAAGTAGATATACAAAGTAATATAATTTGGTATGGTGCTGATACTCTAGTGCATAAAAGGATAAACTCACACTGCAGGAACTCTGCTCTGGTTTTAGGCTCCACATTTGGTTCAATCACCGTGTTGTTAACTTCAGCGAGACCTTGTGAAACAATCAGAATCAGAATCAGAAGGAGTTTTATTGCCAAGTAGTGTTATACACATACGAGGAATTTGCTTTGGTGATAAGGTGCTACACGTAGACAAACATAGATTTGACATAAATAGATGTAGAAATATATAAATATGGAATAGACAGTACAAGTTATATAAGAATATTAAAAAGAATAGAGAAAAACTATTTGAACTACTACTAAGATTAAACAATTAACAACAAATATGTGCAATGTGCCAGGTTTGTGCATGATACGAAATTAAATAGTATCACTACTGGAGCACTTAGTACGGTGGCCCCGAAAGCTCAACGCTCTGCAACTTAAGAAAACACATGCATATACTCAATACACAACCAAATACAGAAACCAAATACAAATACATGTGTACTTGCAGGGTGTTTCTGTATTTGCTTGTGTTTTCTCACTGCATGTGTTTTCTAATGTTGCAGGGTGTTGAGCTCTCAGGGTCAGTATAACTTGGCATTTGGGTTTGTCATAGCATGAAACATACAGGTGTTACTAAAAACATTAACGAGCCAATAGTGCTGGCCACGACAGGGAGCCATCATGAGACAATAACAATGGAATTCAACCGTTATTAAAGTTATTATTAACACTTTAACTGCTGTGACATGTCATACCTTCTGCCACATGAAAGGATCAGTTCACCCAAATTACATAAAGCAACAACAACTACAACTAAAAGAAATTCAGCTCATAGTTTTTAGTAGACACTTAGATTGACGTGAAGCACCACTTCATGTACACAAAAAAAAAACATACTGTGCAATAACTCACTGTGTACAACAGCAAACATTATAATTCAGAACTTAATACCCTGAATTATCACACATATTCCAGTGGTTATAAGTAAAGCGACCGAATACTTTAAGTCACCACCTGTTAAAGGTGGGTGTAACCTTGACATGATTAAGTGTAATAATTTATGCTGTGGAGGCTTGTTTAAAGTGGTGCTCCACACCTGAAGCTAATCAGCCAATCAAGGGGTGTCTGCCTGCACTGAAGAAAGATATCATGTTGAAACATGTTTTGATAATTAAAGAGAATTTTTGTACACACATTGCTACACTTTATTGTGGATATTATCTTTATTGTGGTTTTATCTCTATCAGTTTTTTACTTAAGAATTTCAATGGCTCTCCAGAGGGTTTTCACAGAACTTAATATGGTGGTGAAGTTGTTTTAATGAAAATGTTTTAAATTAATAATCTCATCAACTTGACAGTTTTAAGCACAAACCATGGGACTTTGAGGGACTGGTTTCACATCTCTGCTGTGTGTCATCCTCCTCTGTCTCTCCTCCTGATTGCCACAGCCCTCCACTTTCAGCTACATTAAATAAATAGTGAATAAAGACCAAAATGCATAAAAACATTCTTTTAAACCTCAGATTGATGTTAAATGATTTCCACATGCTCAACAAAGACACGTACCAGTTTGAGAGAATGACTCAAATCCTTTGTCACAAAATTCCTCCAGTTGCCTCCCGAGCTGTTCAACAGCTCTCTTTGTGGAGTCAAAGGGGAGGAGTGGATCCTCTGAGACCTCGTGGAAAGGATGGAGATGCTCTTTCTCACAGAGGCTCCGCAGAGAGGGCCATCTCTGTGAAGAGAGGATTTGGGGAAGAGACAAGAGAAATGGTGATACCATGTATTTGACAGATTCAGGAAATGCTTCTAGTGACGTGATCACAGTACCTTCAAGAAATCTACATCGCTGTCAGTCTGTGCCAGATGCTCCAGCTCAGCACTCCTCTTCCTCATCTCCTCCATCTTCACCTGCAGGGTCTGCAGGGAGAGCTGAATCTGAGCTGCTGCCGCCTCCGCCTGAGCTTCGATCAGCTCCCTCACTGACTGGTAATGTCTCTGGAGGGAGTCGATGATGCCAGCAAAGACACTCTCACAGTAGTCCTGTGTTTTTCTCACCTCATTCTGTTTCACACACAAGCGCACATTTGTATTCATCTGGTGATGAGAACACAGCATGAAGACACTTGAGTCACATGGCTTTCCTCACCTGGATCTGTTCGAGAGCCTTCCCCATGTTCTTCCCTTTCTTTTCTTGTTGCTGGAGAATCTGCTTGGATTTCTTCTGTATGTTCTTCAGCTCCTCCTACAGTGTGTGTTGGAATAGAAATACATACATGATTTTTTGGCTGGTCAGTAGGTAGCCTTTTGTTCCTGCGTAATGTATGTGTGACCTAGTCATAGTTTTGGAATTGGAATTTTTAGATGAAAACTTTGATCCATTTGAATTATTGTCTGTAAACTGGCCGTGAAGGTGCATTAGAAAGGTAAGTGAGGTGGATGTTGAACTGATTTTAAAAAGTAGCAACACTGAGTCTGATATAAATAAACTTTGCTTTTGATTTGAAGCACTCGTTCAATTGCAGCGGATGCAGTTGTTTATCTGGTTATCAAGTTGGCGCACAGGATGAACTGAATTGACTCAGATATTTCACAGATTGGTTACTGCATACATGGAAGCTCAAAGGCTGTGATCCCTGACTGATCAAACAGTGAAAGTGGACTCCAGGAACAAATCCAAAAAGCTTTCCAGAAGCTTGTTCATATGTACAACTGACAAGAAACAGAACAGAAACAGGTTTTTTCACTCATGTGCTCCCAAATTTAACAGGTTTACAGCTGGTAAAGTCTCCTTTACTAAAGAAATGAAAGTAGTCTTTGTGTTTTTTTGGTTTACATACCTCTTTCCTCCATCTTTCCCCCTTCACCGACCCAATGACGTGTCCCCTGTGCTCAGCTGAAGCACACAGTGCACATATAATCTGTTTATCAGTGCAGCAGTAAACATCCAGGGAGCTGCTGTGCCTCCAACACAAAGCGCTTCCAGTTCCTGTTTCTGAACAACCCCTGGGTCTTTTCAGGGCCTGAGTGGACGCTCCTGAATGCTCCATGTTCCTCTTATCTCTGCTGGCATCACGACTCTCCGTGTCCCTCACCAAGTCAGCGAGAGTTGTGTTCTTTATCAGCTGGGGTCTGGTGAGAAACATATGACCGCACTCAGGACAGCTGCAGTGACAGCTGTTCCTCTCGTCGTGATTGAAGCGGTCCTGGATGCACTGCATGCAGAAGTTGTGCCCGCAGGGAATGGTCACAGGATTCCTGAGAACCTGGCTGCAGATCCGACAGCAGAGGTGGTTCATCCTCACAGGGATACGAGGCCCTGCCATGTCTCTGTGATCGTGTGGAGAAAGGCGGGCTTTCACAAGTCTGGTTTCGTTTCCAGCTCAAGTGATTCAGTAGCATTGTAATGTTTGTGTGGTTTCCTGGTGTCAGAGTGGAGATGGGTGGGACTAAATAATTTGAACTGATTTCAAAAAGGACGAACAAAGAAAGGGCAAAAATGGCAGTGTGTGTGGGTGTGGGAGTACTTTAAGAAGGTAATGTAAGAAACGACTCAAAGGCTGTCATTCTTCCCCTCCTGTCAATGTGTGGTAGCTTTTCTGTTTACCCTTTTTTTTTTAAACAGATAGATTTTGTTCTCAGTTTATTTCTCAGTGTTCCTAATATGTTTTCCTTTATGATGTGCCTTGTTTCAGGCACATCATCCTCAGTAACCAGTTAAAAGATATCACAAAAAAAAGACTGTGCAACAGTTTTCATATATACATTTTTAACATACCTCCAAATTTCATTATTTTATTTCTCAGGTAGATCTGGTTATCCAACCCGACACACCAACCACCTGGGCATTAGAAACTGCTGTGTCCGTGAAATTTGTTTTGTTAAATGAACAAAATAAAAACAATAGAAGACACCAGCTGATTCAGCTGTTTTTCACCATGTCATTGTGCTAAATTGCTGCTCCCTCACACACATTTTTGCCAGGTTTTCTATAAAAGGTATATGGCAAATATATTAAGCCTGTTTCTTGCTGTTCAGAATACACATTACTACTATCTACCTACAGCCATTCAACCAGCTTTGACATTCCGGTTGATGAGACTCGTTTTAACAGGAAATCTACTACATTTCCCGCCTATGTCTCAACCTACACTATCAAATACAGGTAAAAATTGCCAAAAGACTGACCTTTAAAATATAATAATAATAATACATGCAACACGAATGACAGTATAATTTTATTACAGTATCTTGAGTCAACATAAAACAAATACAGAACCATGATAAATAAGTTTCACAATTTACATGTATTCTCATTTCTGCAACCTTTATAATAAAACCACAACAAAAAATGTAAGTAGAAAAAGACGAGAAGGAAAATGGTTCTGTTACTGGCAATCAAATGGAGTTATCCCCTTGAGTTCAAAACAGCAGTCTGATGGGTGACGCCAAACCAGAAACTTAAATGTTTCTCTTTCCTTTCACACAAACCTAAATTATGTGAACACATGCCACCAATTTTTTTCCAAATAACAAAGCAATTTAAAGATACTAATGAGTTTCTTTAGGTAAAAAAAATTATAAAGGCTGTATTGTCCATTCAGCCTGGTGGTCAGGTTAGGTCTGAATGTTTGCCTCCATGGTCCCAGAGCAAAGGCAGCACTCAGGTGAGACACTCTGAATAATGCAAACAAAAGTCAAATCATTTGCAAATGCAGCGGAAAAACAAAAAGATAAGTGGGGTAAACAGAAGTTTGTCCCCTTCAGGTAATAACTATTAAAAGAGTAATACGTGTTTTTATTTTGTACATAAAGAAATCATGACTAAAAAGCCCTAACACCCACTCCTCTCATCTCTCTGATGAAGATAAACTCATGAGATAATATCATATTTATCAACATCTTAAATGTGCCCGGCCCTGCCCCAACAAGGCGCACACACCTCATTTTGAGTCTCAACAGTTAATACATAAATTTATTCCACATACATTTCTTTAAAATTACAAGTGAACATCATGTAGTGCTTCAAGGTCAAACTTTCTGACCTTCAGTGGCAGGTAAGAGGCACACAAAGCAAATACCTGTATGTGTAGAGGAGGGGTTGGGTTTAAGATTTAGCACTGGACTTATTTTTTTTTTAGGTATTTCATTAAAAAACTGCAGGTGCTATTAGTGTGGGAAAGGTCTCAATAGTTCATCACGTAAAACATTTGGTTGGAGCCCCGATCAAACTGTAAAACGTGATGATTGAAAGTCTACACCCGGGTGACTTCTGAGAATGAAATCCATCCGTCACCTTCGGTCCGTACAGGACATGTAACATAATGCTGTGATCTGTGGTCGATCGGAGAGAGCACTGTTGGTGGTTTGTCTAAACTCCTGAATTAAACTTCTATTATCTTATAAAAGTCTGGAGGACGTTGAGAGTTGTTGATTCTCACTGTAGCAGTTCTTCCCAGGAAATAGGTTTGGAGAAGACCTCCCGCTCCAGCCAAAGGTCATAGTTCATTTGGAAGTCCTCCGGCAGGTCCACCCGCTGTCCCAGAACACTTTGCAGACAGTTGTCCACAGGCAGGAAGTCCGGGTTGCTGTGGCTCTTGTCGTAGCGGCGACTGTTGAAGCGTTCGATGTTGGCCCGCAGCGCACACTCCTCTGCCTGGAAGTCCCAGGGACGAGCATCCAGATCTGCTCCAGGAAAACAGAAGTTCATATTTAGTGCACTTTGATTTGCTCTGAGTGGAAATACAACTCCATGGGTGTAATTCTTGATTTGGATTTGATTAGGGCTGCAACAAACAATTATTTTCATTACTAACTAATCTGATATGGGCTATGTAATGTTAGAAAATTAAGAAAAATACCATTATACATTCCTAAACCCAAGCTGAAATATTAATAAATACTGCTTGTTTTGTCTGAATGACAGTCCAAGGCCAGAAGATATTCAGTTTACTATCATAGAAAACAAAGAAAATATTCCCATTTAAGAAGCTGGAACCTGTCACTTTTTTGGTTTCTTAGATTACAATTATTATTATTATTATTATTATTATTATTATTATTAGAATAGTTGCAGATTACTTTCGACTGTTAATGTACTGCAAATCAATAGTAAACACACAATGCACTGATTTACACAATGCAATTAAAAATTCTACTCTTTTCTCCGGGCTATAGCTTCCAACATTGAATTTATACATACTGGCTATAATATTATCGGAGGGGGACGTATTGTTTGTGTTTCCACTCACCGTTTCCGTAGGCCCAGTCATCATTGAGCCGATGTCGAACCTTCTGGTAGATGGCAGACATGGTCTTCATGTTGCTCTTCCTCCACTGGCGTCCCAGGTATTTGGTCTGCACTTTGAGCAGCTTGAGGACGTACAGCTGCATCATGGCCTGCTTGACCTTCAGCGCCCTCTTCAGGATGGGTGCAGACTTAAACACCACCAGCATCTGGGAGGGGAAAAGACGGTTTGAGAGGTTCTCATTTGTTAAAACACAATATGATCGTTCCTGGTAAGTGCCACTGAATTGCTCTCACCATTGTTCTGGAGTGCTTCCACTTGGTCAGTTTGTTGAGGATCCTCAGCAGGTTGATACAGGAAAAGAGATTTCTCCAGCAAAACTGATTGTTGTCTCCTGCTTCCTGTGAAAGACAAAATATCTACAATAAAAATGACTCCAACTGTACGTTTCTCAGCAGCAGTAACAGCAACGCTCTGCTTAATCAGATGGTGACGACTATAAAACAGAAAAACTTACCAAACTCTCTGCAGTTAACTCCGGGAGCTCATGCACCACACAATAAGGAAAGTCAAGTACTGAAATGCTATTAGGGAAAGAAAATTGAGAGCAGTGAAATAGAGGCGACAGCTCGCTGACATTTTTTGAGTCGTGATTAAAGAGGGGCAGAAAGTACCTGTTTTTAGCTGTGATGTAGGACATGATATTCTGGTTGAAGAACTTCAGAATGAGGGGGATGCAGTTGGCAAACACCAGGTGCTGAGCCATGTACTCAAACTACGACAAAAGAAACACAAAGACACATTCATTCAAAGTCATATAATGAGATCAAGAGTTGCTTTAATCTTGTTAATGCAGTTACATGTAAATCTGCGCATGTGACGTCCATACCTGGTAGATGTGGTTAAGTTTGAAGTGTTTCAGAAGCAGCAGCAGGATGGCAGAGATGGCCTTCACAATAATCTCCTTGTGTCGATTGACATCAACACCAAGCTTCATACTTTGCAGCACTGTGGTCCTGCGGAGTCAGACGACAGATCATCAACAAGATAGAGTCACTCCTGCTGCTGTTTCTTACTAAAACAAGATAGAATAACCAGAGCTCTTTGTAAAGACCCGGTTTGAAGCAAACTCCAGTAACACTATCTGTATACCTACATTCAAAAGTAAAGCAGACACCAGTAATTATTTTCCACTGTTACTAAAATTAGAATAATTTCCATCTTCAGAATATAATGCTACTCTGGAGAAGCTGTTAAATCCTTTTAGAGGCACTTACGGCATCTCCTCCGGCAGCACGTCTGCCAAGATGTTGATGGAGTCCGTCTTGGCTTTGGAGGTCGGAGCTGCTGCGAGCAGGATCTTCAGCAGAGCAATCTGACATTGACAGAGACACACCATGAAGTCACTTAGAAAAAGCTCATGGCTGCTTCTGAAGGGCTAGATTAACAGTCAGATAAACAGTAGCTGGTGGTTGATATTTATGCTATAAAACCCAGTGACTATTAACACAGATAAACTAACGCCAATATTGTCTTATTGCCTTGATGCTACAACATTTTATCGTTTGAGTTCTGACATTTTATCTGTGAGACTGAAGGGCCACACAGTGACAACACACTAAAGGTAACAATATCTGTAAGCATCACTATTCAATATTTTATTTTCTGCTAAATCAATTTAGAGAAGCATTTACCGATAGATAATTGTAAATAATAAATTCTGTGTCAAGTAAATTCTATCATGAGTCATATGATATGATCCATAGTATTAACAGTCCTAGAAAAACTCAAGCCCAAAGAGCACTAACCATGTACTGAGGCAAAATGGGCAGAATTCCCTGATAGAGCAGCTCAGTGGAGGACATCTCCACCTCCTCCTCACCCTGATGACGAGCAGAGAGAAAACAAGAGGCACAAAACACATTAACATGAACACAAAATAACATTAACATGACATCTCGTGACAGTTAGGTCTTGCAGATAAAAGGTTCTTAAAACTTCTGCTAAGAAAGAATAAAGACTTTAGTTCATACTCTGACATGAAGGGAAGCTAAATACTGCATAGTAGTTGCACTTTATTGTTCAAAAGTTGAAACTACTTGTGCGGCGTACTTGGAGGAGTTAAATCAATCTACAGTCTTGTCTCTACAGGTCATATATGTAAATTATTAATGTGAAGGTTTTTTGGTTCCACTTACCCCGGACAGAGGTGTTTTCTGAAACTCCTCCTCCTTTGATATCTGTATCTCAGCTATGGAGACGTACTTGTGCTGAAAAAAAGATGAAAACTTGTGAAGATCAGCAGCACTATTACAATTTAGAATTCTTAATATTCTCTAGTTAAAAACAGATTGAATTAAATATGGTGAATGCCAATGCAATACCTGCTTTAACGTCCTTATGCTCTCGTGAATTGGCCTGGGCAAGCCAACAACTGTATCTGTATCACTGCAACACATGCACAAGAAAAACCATGCTTTAATACATTATTACAGCACACAACACAGTTAATAGTAGAAAACAGTAGTCCCAAGTTATTTTTTGTTTAAATCCCCTGAGGAGAAAACTTACTTTCCAAGTGTGTAACCAATAAATTTACTTCTACTAGATTCCAGGAAATTTTCAATGTCCTTTTCCCTGTTAGAGCAAAAACAACAATGTCAAAACCAAACAGACCTGAATCTCATTCGTTTCTGTCTAGATTTGTGTACATGGAGGAGGAATCAATAAATCAGCTTTCCTGAAATTAAAGTAAAGTAAATAAAAGAGATGCATAATCTGTCTCCAAACTGTCAAACTGAACAGTACCTGACTTTAGGAGCCCACGGCAGTCCTTTGGGGAAGGACACCCTCTCTGACGGAGGGTGAGGAATAGGCGGGGGCATCACCTCGTCCCGCTCTAGAGGGAAAGTCTCTGGCTCGATAGAGTTGTCGTTGTCATCGTTGTCGTCCTCATCCTCACGAGAGTCATCGGCCTTGTAAGGATCCTTTTCGTTGAATGCGTCAAGGTTGTCTTGTTTGATCAATGCCTGTGTGAGAAACAACGAAACAGTGACAGATTGTCAGTGGAGCAGAACTGTGACGGGGCAACAGGTAGAAAATACAGCACCACACTGCTGATCTGAAAAGGGCTTCCCAAATGGGTCAAATTTAAAGGTGACCTATTATACCACATTTCCAGACCCAGCCCTAGTAGTTCTGTGACTCCTGTACGGCAGCTTTGCATGATTGCAAGTGCCAAAAAATGATTTTCTATCTTATACTGGCCCTTCATGCAGGCCCTCATTTCAGCCTCTGTCTGAAACAATCTGATGACGATCCTGTCTCATTGAGGAAAATGACAATATATGGAGAACCAGGGGAAATCTGAGGTTTTGGCTGAAGGAATTGCTTTTAAAATACGTTTACCTCCTTATTTGAAACTTTGGCCTTGTTTAACATGAACATCTGACATTGAAACATTATAGAAGAAACAGAAAATATGGAAAAGCATAATAAGTCACCACAAAGAAAAGAAGAGGGATGAAATATAAAGAAAAGAAGGGGTGCCACAGAATGTGGAAAAGTGTGTGTTTAACTTGCTGAATGTGTGCACAAACAGGCATTTAATGGTCCAAAGAAGGTTTGGATTGGCAGCATTAAGGCTTATCGCCTAAATGAAACAGTAAAGTCATTCCCTAAAAAAAAAACAAAATCAGCAACATCAGATAAGATGTGCATGATTTAGACATTATTAAATCAATTACAATAATGTCTAAATGTAATCACGATTTTCTCAGATGCTAAATTTAGCACCTTTATGCCAAATAACACTATTTAGTGTTGTAGTTTCACTGTGATTGTATTAAAGTTGATGTTTACATGTAAGTTTAATCAGCATTATCCCAACTGGGTTATTAACAATAAACTGCACTCAATGAAATGTCATCATTGAGCATCAGTGGCAGACAGGGGTTGAGCTATAGTTAAGGCAATGATAAATGCTTCACTCACAGTTAGCTTTAACCTGCAATATGTTTGGTTTAAGAGCAGGGAGCAGCAGTCATGTCTACCTTGTGTTCACGGCGCGCTCGTTTCTGCTGCTGCTCTATGAGGTCGGATGCAGACGCAGGAGGAGAAGCGGCCCTCATGCTGCGAATGACTCGAATGCTGTCCTCGGGGAGAGGGGGGAGACTCAGCTCCTCCCGCTTACAAACCTTTATGCTTTGGAGCTGCTCAAACCCTCCGAGTGTGAACTGTAATAGAAGAGAGGATTTTAATATGTCTCTTCAATTCAGATGTTACTTTTTTGTTGTAAGATCATGTGGGAGCAGATATGACTCTCACCAGTATACTCTTCCACAACAGCAACAACACCTTCTTCATTGGGAAGTGAGGGGCATGGCCGCTGCAGAACTTGGTAACCATACCAAAGAGCATGACAGAAATGGGCTCGTTGTTGAACAGAGGAGATCCTACGTTAGAGAGGAAGAGTGGGAATAGTTTAACTAACTAAGTATTTGTTTATATCCATGACATGACTGCAGCTTTTGACACTGATGAAACGCACCCAGTTCTGCTCTGAAGGTTTCCCTGATGACTTTCCATTCAGGCTTGTCGGCTGGGTCATCCTGTTGTATCGTTTCCACCATCAGGTACATTATGTTGAGCAGCACTCTGAGATCTGTGCTGTCAGCAAGGGAGATGGCTGGTTTCCTGACGGCGCTACTACAGGCAGCACTGTTACTGAGAGGGAGAATATAAATGTTATATATGGCTATCCAGATGGAAACATTTAAAACTGAAACTGTGTTCATTTGTGGCCTATGCCAACCCACATATTTTTGTTGTGCTCACTATGGCCTGGCAACGCTACAGCTGATTTGAACAACTTTTTTGGTGATTGGATCAGCCTTTTTGCTCGTCTGTAAAACCAAATGCGGCTCTGAATTTATTTCTAAATACAATACCAGCAGATGTTTTCCAGACTAGCACAAAACAGGCGTAAGCAATTTAGGCTGGCTTCTGAATGGCTAGAACAGTGATTCTCAGGGGTCCTTGAGGGGGTTCAAGGGGGTCCCCAACAAAAAGGGGAATACTTTATTTTCGTTATAATTCTATTCATCAGTAGCACAGTGACAGATTGTCTGACTATTTTGGTCACGGGTTTCATATACTTTCTGTAATAAAACATCTAAAAGCAAAACTCCTATCAGATGGGGGACTCTGGGACAAAATCTTATCAAATGGGGGTCCGTGGTCTAATTTGTGTTGATTTCGGGGTCCCTGATATGAAAAAGTTTGAGAACCACTAGGCTAGAAAACTGATGAGGAGCTTACTCAATCTCCATGTTGAGCAGTTCAACCAGAGCAGAGAAGGTCCCCACATCCAGCAGCAGAAAGATGTTGTATCTCATCCAGTGCTGCACCTCAGCCTCCGAGCTGCACTCAGCAAAGGTTCCTAGAGAGAAACAAAATGTACCAAGGGTGAAATATAGAGAGAAAAACAAAAATAGCTTCCTTGATCAATCCCAGTCATGGCAAGATTTCATTTTCGTCAAGATCAGTTCATGTTAAACCAGTTTTCAGTGACGTAGACTGACCCTGAGCCAGGTAAAGAATAGCTCTGGCAACCTTCAGCCTCTTCTCCCGAGCAATCACCTCCAGGCTGTCTAACAGGCGCATGGCATGAGCTCTGTGCTGAGCTGCATCAAGCTCTGTCCACTTCTTCTCAGAAACTAAGACACAGATGAGGTGGAGATAATAAACGTAATATCGACACCTTCTTCGTCTTAGATGTAACACGTCTTTACGATTAATTCATTAAGATTTTGATGAGTCTGTGTGACATACCATGTGTTTTGAATTCCACCTCAAAGCACTTCCTGTTGAGAGCAAACTCTGGTCCTTCGGTATAACTGTATAGCTCTGAAACATACATAAAGAATGATCTCTGAAAGACTTAAGTTTAAGGGAACAAAAAAAATCTGTGTCCATGATGACCACACAAACCTGACAGCTCTGCAGCCCACTTGTCCGTATCAGCATATTCAAACTCAAAGTCTGGAGACTCAGACAGCCCCTGCACACAACACATGACACATTGTATTACCTTATACATAATTATAAAATCACTCAAGTGTGACCAATTCAGACAACAGAGCACTGGTGAACAGTAAGTAACTACATTCACATCAAGAACAATTTTGAGGTTAGTTGAGTATTTCAATTTCTGGCCACCTTATAATTCTACTTCACTGAAAACATGTACTTTTTATTCCACTAGATTTATTTAGCAGCTGTGAGCATGGCACCCCTCAGTTGACATGTCACAAAATGTACAGCTCTTTTAATTATACATATTTTCTATACTTTATTGTAAATTTCTATTTTATATTTATGAGACTTTTTCTTTGCAGTACTTCTTTTTTCTCTTACTTTGTATACTTTTACAAAGCTATTTGGTAATAAACCTGTTTGTGATTTTGAAACTAGTTCTCTGCAGATTCCGATTTTGCATACAAAACATTTGTACATATTATCAAATATAATGCAATGTAATATATTACACTATCCAACAGGGTATAACAAAGGATATAAAAATCCACCAGAACCATCGTTAGTCGTAATTGTTAGTTGCAGCCCTAACTCTTTTGCATTATAACTGATTATGGACTTTTTGAATGCAGAACATTTATGGAGTGTATTTCACATTGTAGTATTTCTACTAAGTGAGGAGGTTCTTTTTTCAACATTGAAAGGAAGTTTGTCATTTACAAGGACAGAAGATGCTGATCATCCATCAGTTTATTGCATAACGTTATTGAGAAATTCCTCTGGATCACATTTAGTGCTATAATGGTTTAAGCTGGAATTTGAGTGTCTTCTATTTGTGTGCATTTTCTGATTATTCAAAAGATTACAGGAGGTCAAAACTCCCCATGCATTGGTTAAAAAACGTGAATTCTTTGAGTGATTTTCCTGCATATTCATTCATCAGAAATCTCCAACTGTCACTGACTCACTTAGCTTTCTTTAAAATGAAGATCAGGGCTCCATGGCATACATATAGCCTACATGATGAAATTACATTTAGACCAGGTCAATATGTTAGAAAGAAGACGCAAACAGAAAGATTTCCTTTTCAACAGGTCGTCACTTGATTCTTGACAGACAGTTCAGTCTGGCCTGAACCGGCTAACATCAGCTAGCTAGCTCCAGCTAAGCTACACCGCGTCTCAAAATTAAGTTATGTAAATTAACGTTGGACTACTACTTAAACACTGCATAACTATACATTTATTTTACAATCTGAAGACCTCCAGTCGCTGCTGTAAGTTCACGTCGCCGAATCATGTCAAACATTAGTGAAGCTACACTAGCCTGGCAGAGCTAACGATAAGAGTTACAGCAGAAAAGGCCTCGTCTGTTTATCAGAACTCATGCGGACAGTTAACAAACTTTTGTTCACGTACCTCTGAATCTTTTCTTGGGTTGCGGGTAAATTCGCCCCTGCTTTTGTTCGGTATCATAGCTCTCTGTTTATTGTTTACAGGAAGCCCACCACTGCTCCCACCGACGTCCATTATTTTTTTTTGGGCGCAGTGTCCTCTCGCGAGACGAGAGTTGATCTGCGAGAGTCTGACTGTGTAACATTGTTGGTGATTTGCTTTTTGTTAGGCTTATGTTTTCTTCCCATTTTCTTTTTCTTTTCTTCTATAGTTTTACATTTTACCTTTATTTGATGATGGAATTTAAAAAAAAAATAAAAACACTTCTCTACTGTATTTATTGTATCCATGGTGACTGCTAACCAACTGCCAAATAGTGAATCTGAGGTTATGAGGGGGCCCTGGGGGTCTGTTGGGAATCCAGCCATGACTGTATCTAATACTTCTCAATACTCGTGACATGCAGGTTATAATTGTACAATACATTTGATGGGTGGATAAGGCTTGGTCATTACAGTGAAATGATGTATCTGAGCCGTTTTCAAATTCAAACAGCAGTTTATTAAAGGGAAATGTGCACAGAAATGTTTCAGGGAGTAAACTGCTGAAATTATGTTCTTCAAATTAAACTACAGATACAGAGTTGAAAATATAGGCCTACTTTATAGCTAATATATAATTACAGAACTTCGTCTCCACATCAAAAGATGTCAAAACCTGCAACAGTGTACAACTGTCAAATCACAGTGGTTTGCTTTTTTATTTCAATTTCAAGAATATTTCAATTTGTCGAGCTGTTTGCTCCAGTTATAACACATTCATTTGCCTCTATAATATAGTATATAGAGTTAAAACTAGGGTAAAATGATTGTTATTATTAGTTCAAACTAAAGGATTCCATTATAAAAAGCATTTATTAAGTGCTATTATGACCCCTGTAAGTAATTTAAATGTCTAACTGTCATGAGAAATAAAACTGGGTCCATGTAATTCCATGTAAAAAAGTAGGCCTACACAAGTACAACGGAGTACAAAATGTTGCCTACTAACGTCTAAAACTCATCTTAGTGCATATTTTTGATTGATGTGAAACACAGATTTAACTCTCCACCCCTGCAGAAGTAAAATACTTCTGACAGACAACTGAGTATGTTTTGCTGCATAGCTATCACTGTATATTGCAAAATCATGTTGGGCATTACCATACCTAAAAAAAACATAAAGTTGTATATATGAATATAAATTACTGAGTCACAAGGCACTGTCAACTGACCAGTAACAATGGTCACAGCGCTCATCTTGCTGACAATGGCGTCCTCACTGAAAGTCCTTGTTGTTGTCCAAATGGCCTTCAAGCTGCTAGTGCGAAGATGAAAGCACTTCATAGTAGCATACTGGATACTACTCAATAAAATGTACCAAAATCTACAAAAAACTGAAATAACTGAAACTTTCAGGAATTACTTTTAACTGCAGATGAAGTTTAAATTTTGAAGGGTAGTGGTGGACAGTAACGAAGTACATTTACTCAAGTATTGTACTTAACTACAAATGTGAGGTACTTTTCTTTTCATGCCACTTTCTACTTCTACTCCGCCATATCTCAGAGGGAAACATTGTACTTTTTACTTCACTACATTTATCTGACAGCTTGAGTTACTAATTAATTTACAAAATAAGTTTTTTTACACATAAAACATTTGGAATTTTTAAAATATGATGTTTTGTTATGAATTAAACTACTCAAAAGTTTATACAAGTACAGATAAAATGATAAATCAATTTACAGAAAATAATAAATTTTCATCGTTTAGGTTATTTTTCATGCAAAAACATTTCATGGTTCTAGCTTCACATATGCGGAGATGTTCCTTTTAATAATTTTAATATTTTTAATGTTTTTTTCAATCAAGTTTGTTTGGAGTGTTGACAACAAGTATTGTGAAAGTGTCACTTTGGGCTCTGGGTGACTTGCAGTCTGACACAAAACAGTTGAAAAAACAACTACAGAAGTAAAATCCTGTTTTTACATTAATGCATGAGTAATAATCTAATGATATAATAGTATAACAGTCATAGGGGACAAAGGGAATATTTACTTTTAATACTTTAAGTACATTTTCCTGATTATACTTTTCCTAGTAACATTTTTAATGCAGTACTTTTACTTGTAACAGAGTATTTTTACAGTGTGGTATTAGTACTCTAACTCAAGTCAAAGGATCTGAATACTTTGTCCACCACTGGTGAAGACACCGTAACAATGTAAGAAGGTGCCAAACCCTTGGCAGGGACAGTAATACTGTCTAGAGTTTGGAGTAAGATCGGCCCACAGAACCACCAGCGTTCTCTACAGCATGTTGAAATGTGTTGAAGAGCTTTAAATTCAGCAAAGACACAAGTACTACCTGCACACTATATAGTCTGAATTTAAAAAAGAATCCCAGAGCTAATTGATCCAACGTGGCCACTAAATTAAAAAATATCACAAGGAATATAGAGAAGTAAAACTGGCAATACGGTTGTGCATTTAACAAGCCTCACGATACAGTGCTTAAGCCTTTTGAACAATAAAAAAACATTCAGGAAACAAAGCAAAGCATTGTGTTATTTTGAAAAGCTATAATACCACAAGAGAACACAGAAGGTAAAGCTAACACATCTCTCTATCTAACTGTGCTGATTCAAGAAAAGCTTATTCATGTTTAGACCCAGAGAATTTGGATCATTAAGTTTACGTTTCTGTTGTTAAAAAGAGACATCCACTAGTTAACACAAGCTCAGAGTCCTGTGACAAATCTAACCATAAATCCAACACCATTTTGATCAGATCAGACCAGATCAGCTGATCAGGGGCTGTTGCACATAAAGCACAAACATACTGTGCATAACACTGTTCAACATGTAGTCTGTGGCTCGTGTTAGCTATACACAGAATATACATGGCTCCAGATGACTTGCAGGTGATTTGGATCACAGAATATCAAAACTTCTTAACATATTTTACATTCCTACTGTAAATAGTAATTTCATGAGAATAACAGTAAGACTAAACACAGATACTTAGGTCAGCAAGAGCTGATGTGGTAGAAATATATTTACAAATAATTTTAAATTTTGAATGCCCTGGGGTACAGATACTTTTCTTTCCAGATACCAAAACTTCATAAATGGACAAATATTTTCAAGAAAATAAATGCTAAGCTCCCATCTTACGTTTGCTATAGTCAGTAAGTGCTAAAGTTGCTTTTGTTGCCTAGATCTGCTGAAGGTTACCGGTAATGTGGACGATAGTACAGAGAATATTTCTTCTGTATCTTGTGGATGGAATGTATTAAATAAGTAAGTGCTGCCGCATTTTAGCAGAAAGAAAACTTGACAACAGGGGGGCGGAAAGACTGCAAATCAAACTTACGAAAACACAGCCCTGATTTACAATCACATTATCAAGTTGTTATGGCTCATTTGTAAGAATTGCCTACTTAAACATCGACCAGACATCTAACTGGAGTCATATTTCTGGCAACCTGATAAATTTAAGTCCACCATTCACTGGCCTTTTAGCTCTGATTTGGTCCACTTAGTCCTGAGAAAAACATTTGGAGCGTGTCTTTCTTCACCAGCCAGGACTTCACACATTGGCTCTCTGGTGTTTGGGGTTCATACGGGTGGTTGATGAGACAAGGAGCTAACAGTGGCTAAAAGGCTCAGTGAGCTTCAGAGTTTTGTAGGTTTGGAATTGACCCTTTAGTATTACATGGAGGAATTTGATTAAAATGTTTCATTCAAATGTATCGCTTAGCAAAGGTTTATCTGATTTCACAACAAACCATTAACATTTTACAACAACTGTAACCCTTCTCCATCACGGTCATTTGGCACAATATAATGATACATTATTCAATATCTATCAGAAGTCTAAAATAACCCAGGAGCCAGCACATTTGGAAAAAGATGCACCAGAAAATAAAAATCGCCCTACACAGCAGCTGTAAGTGCTGTGGTTAAACTGACTTTCATAGCCAGCTCGGGGAAACGTGCAGTTCTGCAGGAAGCAGGAAGAGAGAGAGAAAATGGCCATGGCCAGTAAATTACAACTAAATATACGCTGTGCATCCTGTGAAGATTATAAAAATACAATATACATAAATCTTTTTTTTGTCTTAGGGATGGGTGATGGGTAACGTCCACATTTAGGTGTGCTGAGCTGTGGCTCCCCTGCAGACTAATACCTGTGAATATCAAGAAACAAGTTTAGTTAGGAAGTGCTACAAGCACAATGCTAACAGCAAAAGTGTGTGTGGGTGTGTGTGTGTGTGTGTGTGTGTGTGTGTGTGTGTGTGTGTGTGAGAGAGTGAGTGAGTGAGTGAGAGTTTAGAGAGATGTTTCTAAATTGAGTACTTTTGAGCAATTTAAATCCAATCTGGGATATCAGTTTTGACATTTTAGACTAAACAATTAGTTATCTAATTCAAATAAACAATATGTTAGTTAATGATGAGGTTTTAGTTTCATATTGCAACTCTATTCTGCTGTATTTTGTAGTGAAAGTTTGCGGAATTATACCTGTAGTAGTTGGGTTTAAAAGGGCCGTTCTTATTCAGCCCCAGGTATTTTGCCTGCTCATCAGAAAGCTCTGTCAGGTGGGCATCAAAAGTGGCCAGATGCAGGCTGGCGACGTATTCATCTGAAATACACGGATGTGGTTTAGTGAAACAGACACTAAAGTCAACACAGGAAATCAACTCATGTCTGCTGGGTAGAACTGCACTGAAAGGTCACTGCCCGACTTAGACTACTAGTTACAGCGCCACCACCAGAGGGCATGAGTACGTTCAGAGGAGAAGATTCCCAATTTACATCTTAAAAAAAAATCATCTCAAAACTTACATGCTAGGTAGACTGAGGTAGAACTTAGTTAATCCACACTCTCCCGTTCAACAGCCCAGCCTTGAGTAATGTTACTTCAAGGTCAAGAATCTAAATAACCTCACCCATCTTCTTGGGAAGCAAGTAAACATCCTGCTTGTATCTTCCCTCAGGGGCGTTGTACAACTCTATAAGAGCCAGGGCCTGAACACAAACATGAATTAATAATAATAAGAATACATACTTTATTAATCGCTTTAGGGGAAACTCGTTTTTTTTATTATGATTATACACGTACATGCACAAACAGGAC